TTATTTTCAAGAATAATCATGCTTTTCTGAATCCAAACTAATCCATCACTGGGGTGGTTTAGTGGCTCAACATTGTATTCCCTTTTCAGCTGATCAGTGGGCCTCTGGGGAGGGGCTGGAAAACGGAGGCCATTGTGTGAGCCTGTCGAGTTGCTGCAAACATGACCCCTGCTCAGTAAAGCACTTGCAACCGTCTGTTATGCTGTGACACATGGTCCCTCCCCCTGCCAGGAGCTTTGGATCTAATCCAAGCATCCCTTTGCCCAGAAAGAAGATGGGGGAGGAGGCAGTAATAAAAAGATTGAAGTAGTTTTGCTGGAATAAGTTCAAATTCTTCTGAACTCAAACTGAGGAATTTCACCTGTAAACCTGAGTCATAGTGAACGCTGCCTGGTATATCCAAAAGCTTTTTATTTCTCCTGCTCATATTGTGATTCTGCCCTTAGGGACTTTTCTGAAACCTTCAGTTATGCTTTTATTTTTTTTTTTGTACACTTATTGGAACTCCGCTTGATTTTTGCCTCTTCCAGTTTTCTTGACACTTTGATTACCAACCTGTTACCTACTTTGACTTTTTGCATTTAAAGCAGACACTGGCATGGACATAGTTTTACTTTTAAACTATGTATATAACTGAAAATGTGCTATACAGCATACTTTTTAAATGTAAAGATACTTTTATCTTTATATGAGGAAAATCACTTAGGAAATGGCTTTGTGATTCAATATGCAACCTGTGTATTCCAAGACATGTCTGTTCTACATAGATGCTTAGTCCCTCAGGCAAATCAATTGCTGGTCCAAAAGATTGCTGAAATTTTATATGCTTACTGATATATTTTACAATTTTTTATCATGCATGTCCTATAAAGGTTACAAGCCTGCACAATAAAAATGTTTAACAGTTAAACATTCAGCTTTATTATTTTCCCCCAAAACAGGTGTTTATATGTCAGTGTCTGTGTGTGTCTATGTGTTTGTATGTAGTGAGCATGTGTATATGTTTGTAGTGTGTTTGTGGGGGGTAATAGTCTCCCACTTTAAAATTATTACCAAGTCACTTAGGATATTTCTGCTAAGGTCATCAACATTCATAAGTTACTTCAGATAAAAGTTATAATTAATAACAAAGATTTGTTTTAGCAATTTCCCCAATGTTTTATTATATTTCATCTAATTTGAGCCCCCAGCAAGCTTGGATATTAATGCTTTCATTTGGTAAATGACACAATTTGCATTCAGGGGGCAATGGCTTCAACTTTGCTATGCCTTAACTGGGTTTTAAAAAGGTATATTGCAGTCCCAATTTATGTTTGTTGCTTTGCTAAGTTGACATTCAGGACTGTATTAGGGTTCTCCAGAGAAACTGAACCAATAAGAGATAGATGGAGATAGATAGACAGATAGATAGGATAGAGATAAAGAGAGAGATGAAGATAGAGATAGAGATGGCCATGGAAATAGAGAGATGGAGCTAGAGATAGATAGATAGATAGATAGATAGATAGATAGATAGATAGATAGATATGAAGATAGAAATATAGGGATAAATAGAGCAGAGATAGAAATAGATAGATGGAGATAGAGATATATAGGGATAGATAGAAATAGATGTATATATAAAGAGATGAGAGAGAGATGGAGATGATGAGAAAGAGAGATAGATGGAGATGATAAAGATATAAATGGAGATGATAGAGATAGATGGAGATAGAGACAGATGGAGATAATAGAGAGAAAGAGAGAGAGAGAGATAGATGGAGACGATAGAGATAGAGAGCAAGAGCTTTATTATTGGGAAGTGGCTCACATGATTATGGAGGGCAACAAGTTCCCCAAATCTGCAGGGTGAGTAAGCAAGCTGGGAACCCAGGAAAGCTGATGATGTAGGTCAGTCCAACATTAGTAGGCTCAAGAACCAGGAAAAGTTGCTATTTTACACCAAGTTCAAAGGCAGGAAAAAGAAAAATCCAATGTTCCAGTTTGAAGGCAGTCAAGCATAAGGAATTCTCTCTTACTTGGTGGTCTGGGTCACAGTCAGCTTATTCTATGCAAACCTTCAACTACTTAGATGAAGCCCACCCACATTAGGGAGGGCAATCTGCCTTACTCTGTCTATCAATTTAAATGTTAATCTTATCCAAAAGCACCCTCAAAGAAACACTCGGAAAAACATGTGACCAAACATATGGACACCCCATGACCCAGTCAAGTTGATACAAAAAGTTAATTATCGCAGCTTCTGATCCAGTTCCATTGTACTCTCCAGATATACAAATCACTACATGGCTTTGGACAACTTTTACTAAATATTGATAATAAATAGCTTTATACATCATACGTTTAGCCTGTAATTCTAGGACTTTGGAAGGCTGAGGCTGAGACTGGAGGATCAAATGAGGCCAAGAGTTCAGACCAGCCTTGACAACAAGAGAGACCATCTTGTAAGGGAATGAAGAGAGGAAATGGGAGGGGAGGGGAGGGGAGGGGACGGGACGGGAGGGGAGGGGAAGGGAGGGGAGAGGAAGGAAGAGAGGGAGGGAGGGAGGGAAGGAGGGAGGGAGGGAGGATAAAAACATCTAGTAAATTTAGTTCCTTAAGAATATACATCATCTCGGTGGAGTGGGGCTCAGTTTGACTAGCTGACTCATATCCTCCCTGATGTGGGTGTTAATAGTCAAGTGTTCTGGGTTTTAAATTATAATCCATTTTTTAAATATTGGGCAGAGGGAAGAAGTGAAGAAAGACACCCTTAACATAACACAAAAGGCTGAAATCATAAAATAAAAGATCACGGCAATAAACACATAAAATATCAAACTTCTATATATCAAAAACAGTAGAAACAAATACAACTGATAACAGAAAGCATTTGAGTGCATAGCATTATAATACACTTGAAAATACAGAGAGCTTTCATAAATTAAAAAAAGGTGAAAAGGAGGTAAAGGACCTCTTCCAAGAGAACTACCAACCACTGCTCAAAGAAATAAGAGAAGACAAAGAGATGGAAAAACATTCTATGCTCATGGTTAGGAAGAATCAATATTGTGAAAATGGCCATACTACCCAAAGTAACTTATAGATATAATGCTATCCCCATCAAACTACCAATGATCTTCTTCACAGAACTGGAAAAAACCACTTTAAACTTCATATGGAACCAAAAAAGAGCCTGCATAGCCAAGACAATCCTAAGCAAAAAGAACAAAGCTGGCGGCATCATGCTGCCAGACTTCAAGCTATACTACAAGGCAACAGTAATCAAAACAGCATGGAACTGGTATCAAAACAGAGACATAGACCAATGGAACAGAACAGAGGCCTCTGGAGCAACACCACACATCTACAACCATCTGATCTTTGACAAACCTGACAAAAACAAGTAATGGGGAAAAGATCCCCTGTTTAATAAATGGTGTCAGTAAAATTGGCTAGCAATGTGCAGAAAGCAGAAACTGGACCCCTTCCTGACACCTTCCACTAAAATTAACTCCAGATGGATTAAGGACTTAATTGTAAGACCTAATATGATAAAAACCCTGGAAGAAAACCTAAGCAAAACCATTCAGGACATAGGCATAGGCAAGGACTTCATGACTAAAACACTAAAAGTAATGACAACAAAAGCCAAAATAGACAAATGGGATCTAATTAAACTCCAGAGCTTCTGTACAGCAAAAGAAACAATCATTAGAGTGAACTAACAATCAACAGAATGGGAAAAAATTTTTGCAATCTACCCATCTGACAAAGGGCTAATATCCAGAATCTACAAAGAATGAAACAGATTTACAAGAAAAAAACAAACAAACCTATCCAAAAGTGGGCAAAGGATACGAACAGATACTTTTCAAAAGAAGATATATATGAAGCCAACAAACATGAAAAAATGCTCATCATCACTGATCATTAGAGAAATGCAAATCAAAAACACATTAAGATACCATCTCATGCCAGTTAGAATGGCAATCATTAAAAAATCTGGAGACAACAGATGCTGGAGAGGATGTGGAGAAGTGGGATCACTTTTACACTGTTGATGTGAGAGCAAATTAGTTCAACCATTGTGGAAGACAGTGTAGCACTTCCTCAAGGATCTAGAAATAGAAATTCCATTTGACCAAGCAATCCCACTGCTGGGTATATACCCAAAGGACTATAAATCATACTATTATAAAGACATATGCACACGCATGTTCATCGTGGCACTGTTTACAATAGCAAAGACCTGGACCCAACCCAAATGCCCATCAATGATAAACTGGACAAAGAAAATGTGGCACGTATACACCATGTAATACTATGCAGTCATAAAAAGCTATGAGTTTGTGTCCTTTGTAGGGACATGGATGAACCTGGAAACCATCATTCTCAGCAAACTGACACAGGAACAGAAAATCAAACACCACATGTTTTCACTAATAGCTGGGTATCGAACAATAAGAACACTTGGACACAGAGAGGGGAGCATCACACACTGGGGTCTGTTGGAGGAGGCTATGGAAGGGATAGTGGGAGGAAGGGTGGGAGAGGAATAACGTGGTGAGAAATGTCAGGTATAGGTGATGGGAGATGGTGAGAATGGGCCACCTTGCCATGAATGTACCTATGTGACAATCTTACATGATCTGCACATGTACCCCAGAATCTAAAGTATGATAAATTTAAAAAAAGAAAAAGATGAATATGCTAATAGAGAAATAAGCAAAGAAGATAGTTCACAAAAAGAAGTACACAATGATTATACAAAAAAAAATTATACTCATTAGTAATTAAGTAGTAATAGTTAATGCAATGAGACATCATTTTCACCTAAGTTTGCAGAGATGGAAAACAAAGGTAATGTCCATGCTGGTGAAGATGCAAGTGAATGGGCACATTCATTCATTGCATCTGAGAAGGTAACAGATATAAGCCATTCGGAAGACAATTAAGTGTACCCATGATATATCCCACAATTCCTTTTACTAAACAAAAATAATAGGGGCATATCAATGTTCATCATCATAGATGCTCATTATTTTATTGTCAATAGCATAATACATTGGAAACAACATATATATTAAAAACAACCCAATCGTTTACATAAATTATGGTATATGCATTTAACAGACTTCTATTAGCTTTTAAATATTGTATGAAATAGAATATTTAATGACATGGAAATATGTTCATAGCATGATATTATCTTAAATAGTAAAACTTAAAATTGTGTGTAGGATATGCAGCTACTTTTTGTTTAACATTTTGTTTAAAATTTGGGGGTGAGTATATTTAAAGAATTGTGTCATTTCTGAGCTCCTGTCAGATACTTTACAGACATTATTACAAATTTATATGAGAGTTCAAAATAGCTATTGATGTCCTTACAAATAAGATTTAAAGAATTTTAGAGAGTCACTCATTCACATCACTAAGTATTGGAGCTATTGTCTAATCCAGGAGTTCCAGGTGTGTCTGTCCTCAAAGCTCTGTTCCTTCCACTCATCTATTCCCCTGCTCTGTGCACTTTCTGAGCCCCCCTAAGCCTTTCTCCTCGTTATGAAGCTTGCTGTTGCCACTGGCTAGCAGAATTATTTAATCCATTCTGAAATGTATGCTAAGAAAGTAATGTGAGCAGAACTGGAGTAAATATTAGCAGAAGTTAAGTAATAGTTAAAACTTGTAATCCAACTTCGTATGTTAACTATATCCTTTTAAATGTAGTTTACTTAATCTTTGCAATAACCCCATATGGTATGTATTATTATTATCATCCCAATTTTACAGAGTAAAAAATCAAGGCACAGAAGAGTCAAGTAACTCTCTCCGAGTCACACAGCCAGTAGCTAACAAAGTCAGGATTATGAACCCATGGAGTCTGGCTCCAGAAGCTGGAAGCTAAACTATGGCACCAAATCATATAGCTAGTGGGAATGCCACAAAACAGAAAGCAAGCTGTGTCTCTACTGAGAACAAGTAATGGTCAACAATATGGTTGCCAATTTAAATACAAATTAAAACATTTTGAGTCTAAAATACGAAATTAAAACTGCTCTCACAAAGTTAGCAAAATCTTTGATTTAAGCATTTACATAAAAGTTTTCAAAACATAAAAAATGTTTCATAATAGGGTATGTTCAGTCATATTATAGTTTAGTGACTTCAAGACCGTAAGATGACTAAGTGATAAGTTGATGTACAGACTCCAAGACAGAGATTTTAATGATGAAAAGAAACACACTTTTTGAAATAAAACCTAATATTTATATTATTTGACAAAAATTAAATAATTTCCATGGAATCAGATTGAGTTCTATCAAATAACCAATAGAACCATTTTACCACTAAGATTTAAGCCTATTTTTTCTCTAAAAATCTCCATTCATTTGACTTTCATATTCACTCTCAAATCTGCCAGTTGCTTTAGTAATAATGAGTGTCTCAAGATGTTATTCATTACCCAACTTACCATCAATGCAAACTCTCTCAACTTCCCCCAATGCACACCAATCCTATTGATACTTGCTCTCCTCTTATTTTTCCTTTCTGCTAAAATGGATGATTCCCTAATCTGAGCAAAAGCCATTCCCTTCACATGCACTCTGAATCTCATCCTTTCTTATTTTCACAAGATCTTTCCTCTGATGGTCATCTCGTTTAACTCTTACTATCTATCTCTCCCTGTGTTCTGGATTGTTCTCCTTAGTCTCCAAACATCACATATAACTTTTATCATTAAAAAAAAAAACAAACCACATTCCCTTCCTTAACCTTATAACCTCCTCTAACCATCAATATTTTTTCTGCTTTTACTGTCAAAATTAACAAAAGAATTATCTATATACGTTGTCTGAACACTATTAAATTACCCTACCTATGATTATACTTTTAAGCCCAACAGGTTTCTGGGGTTTGGGGTTCTTGTTTGTTTGTTTTGGGGTTTGGGGTTTTTTTGTGATTTTTTTTGTTTTTTGGGTTTTTTTTTCCTGAAATGAGGGCTTGATAAGTTGCTTAGGCTGGTCTTGAACACGGAGGCTCAAGCAATTTGCTCACCTCAGTCTCCTGAGAAGCTGGAGCTATTGGCACATGCAACAGTGCCCAGCTGAACAGGTTTTTAAAATAATTTTTTATTTCTGGTCAATGCTCAATGGTCAATGTCATCATTGGTTCATCTGGGGCTCTCTTTTAGTTGATTTTATTTATTTTATTATTTAATGATCATTAATCAACATCTATGAATTCATCACCAAATCAAATAACTAGAACTCACAACTACACATTTATTCCTTCTCTTTCCTATCCACCTGTCCCCCTGCATCCAGATGAGGTAACCATTCTCCTAAATTTTGTATTTATTATCTTCTTGCCTATTAAAAAGTTTTAAATACAATCTCCCAGGGAAAGAATATCTATTTAGTTTTAGTTCTTTTTAAAGTCTTTTTAAGGAATGTCATGAAGAATGGACCATTCTGGCATTTGATTTCTTTTTTCACTTAAGATTCATTCATATTGTTGAATATTGCTCTAGGTCAATCCTTTTCAGTGCTATAGATTTGTCTGTTGTGCAAACATACCCAATTTTATCCAGCTGCCTCTTGAGGAGAACATGGTATGCCAAGGGTGCTGCTATAATTATCCCTGTATATGTCCACTGGGAGGGCTTATGAGCATAAATTCCTCTAGGGATCATCATTAGGACTGAATTGTTCAGTTCTGACAAATGATATATTCCCCAGCCTTTCTAGATATGGCCAATTGCTTTTCAAAGTAATAATAGCAATTTACACTGCCACCAGCATTTGGAACTGTTACACTTCTTCAATTTTGCTAATCAAGTGGGTGTGAAATAGTATTTTATTTTAGTCTTGATTTGTATCTTTCTGATTACCAATGAGGTAAAGCATCTCTTCACTGGTTTTTGGTCATGTGGGCATCTTCTGTTAAATGATGTGTCATTCAGAAAGGGTTCTTAAATAATGGCTTTTCTTTCATTATCGAGTCAGGAATTTTTGTAGATTCTTAATATTTATCATTTTATTTTTACATGTGCTTCAAATATTTTTCTCAATTTGTATCATTATTTTCACTTTCACTAAAATGTCTAGTAATGAACACAAGTAATTTGACTTTAGTGTTCAAATTTATCCATTTATTCATGTTGAGTGTTTTTCTATGCCAAGATAAATAAGATATTTATTGTATTTTAACTAGAATTACTGCAGTCTAAGAGATTAAATATCATAGGTTTTTCTGACATAAAGTATTTTGCAATATGTTCAATTACATTAAAGATTTGGTTTTAACTTTTAAGTCCTTAATCCAATTGTGTGGAGTTGATTTGTTTGTATGGCATGATGTAGGAATCCAGTTTCACTTTTTTTATGAACAAGATAACCATTTTTGCTAGTTTAATTAATTGAAAATGTCCTCCTTTCTCCTTTAAACTATACTGCCACCTCTGTTACTTATTGAAGTTCCATTCATACTTGGATTGATTTCTGTACTCTCTAGCCCACTGGTCAATTTGTTTTTTCTGTACTCAAATAACATTTTAAAGTAAGTCTCCAAATCTTGTAAGACAAGTTTTAATTTCCTGTTTTCTTTACTTCTTACTTTCAAGTGCCTTGGTTATTTTTGGCCATTTAATTTTCCATAAAAACTTAAAACTGTCTCATCTATTTCTAATAAAAACTCAGTTGGAATATCAATTGGAATTGAATTGAATCTTTAAATCAAGTTGGAAAATTGACATGTGTATATACCAAGGCTAGCTATAAGCATGGAAGTAAAGTTTCATTTATTTTTTTATAAGCATTTTCAATAAAGTTTCAGAATTTTTCCATGTAGAGTTCTTCACGTTTTATGATTTATTTATTCTAAGTATGGTAATTATTATACCTAGTGACTATTTTAGTACATATTTGCTAATTGTTGACTGTTTGTCTTTAGAAATGCAATTGACTTTTGAATATTGAGGCATAATTAACATTAAAGAGAAATATATCCTAACCATAGTTCAATGACTTTTAACAAATATTATGTTTTTAATTGCCAAATATATAAAATTTCTTAAATTAGTTTTTATTTTAATTTCTAGCTCTATTATGGGAAAAAATATGATGTAAATATACTTGTTCTTGAAATGTATTAAGACATTTTATGGTCAGGTCCATGATAAATTTTTATAAATATTTAACGCATGCTTGAGAAGAATATGCATCCTCTAATTTTTAGATGCAGAATTCAGTATATGTCTATATCAGCCTTATATTTTGTTGTTCATATTTTCTATATTTTAATGACTTTTTTGTCTAGTCCATTTCTTAAATAAGTCTAGAGAATCAGTCCCTTCTAAAGGATTTATAATTGTTTGCTTTATATACATTTCAAGCTATTCATAGTGAATACCTTTATAGAAATATTTTACTGATAAGTTGCTTCTACATATATTTTATGGTCAAGTAGTGAGTCTATAATTATTGTTTTGTCATAAAGTTTATTTTGCTTAAAACTTACATAGTTATACCTGCTTACTTAAGCATTTTCTTGGCTGGGCGCAGTGGCTCACGCCTGTAATCTCAGCACTTTGGGAGACAGAGAGTGGCGGATCATCTGAGGTCAGGAGTTCGAGACCAGCCCAGCCAACATGATGAAACCCCTTCTATACTAAAAATACAAAAATTAGCTGGGCATAGTGGCAGGTGCCTGTAATTGCAGCTACTGGGGAGGCTGAAGCAAGAGAATCCCTTGAACCCAGGAGGCAGAGGTTGCAGTGAGCCGAGATCCCACCAGCCTGGGCGACAGAGCAAAACTACATCTCAAAAAAATTTTTTAAAGATAAGCAATGCCATTTAGAGAGACTGTCATGTGAATGGCATCTTCTAGACTGTGTGTCTGTAAGGTTCCCATGTTCTTATGCTTTATGTGAGTCTTCTATAAACAGGACAGAGTTGGAGTTGGATTTGGTTTTTCATCCAATCTAATAATCTTTTTTTTTTTTTTTTTTTTTTTGATGGAGCCTCGCTCTATCACCAGGCTGGAGTGCAGTGGTGCAAACTCAGCTCACTATGACCTCTGCCTCCCAGGTTCAAGTGATTCTCCTGCCTCAGTCTCCCGAGTGGCTGGGACTATAGTTGTGTGCCACCACGCCTGGATAATATTTTTGTATTTTTAGTAGAGACGGGGTTTCACCATGTTGGTCACGATGGTCTCGATCTCCTGACCTCCCGACTCAGCCTCCCAATGTGCTGGGATTACAGGCACAAGCCAATGTGGCCAGCCAATAGTCTATTCTTTAACTGGCAGATTTGGTCTATTTGTATTCATTGTGATTATTAATACATTTTTTTCTATTATCTTACTTTTTATGGCAAGTATTCTATTTTTTGTTTCTTTTTAATACTTTCTTAAAGTAATGTATATATACAGTCTATTATATATATATGTGTGTGTGTGTGTGTGTGTATATATATCCTTTAACTAGACAAGAATTTTAATGACTTTTGGCCTTCCCCAGCAGGATTGCCAATCATATTGACATAATATAGAGCTTTAATTCTGTAATATTTTGGATATAGTTCTGTTTTGATATATTTTTTAATATTTCCTTCCCTTTTTTGATATATTTTTAAATATTTTCTTCTTTTTTGAGCATTTATGTTAAAATATCTTTTCAATATGAGTTTTTTTATGATAAAGCCTTGTATGCCTGAGAATATTTTTATTGCCATCACGTTTGAATGACAAATGAATTGTAAAATTCTATCTTCAAATTTCTTATTTTAAAAAGTTACTCCATAAATGGCATTCTGCATTTATTGAAAACTCTGATGTCTTTTGTGTCATTTATTATTTTCTCTTTGCATATGATATTCTTAAGTCTCAATATAATGGACCTGTGTGTTGACTTTAAAATATATATTTATTTACTATTTTTAATACATATAAATATTTTAATATATATTTCCCAAGAAATGGTCCTCTAAAGACCATTTCAATCTGTAGCTGTTCTTTCTTTTGAAAATGTCTCTATATTTCTTTAAATATTTTCCTCTCTTCATTTTTATAATTTTTCCTTCAGGCATTCTACGTATCTAAAAACTAGTACCTCTATTATCCCTGGCTATGAACTTCCACATTTTCTACCATTCTAGAAGCAATCTTCCATCTGGTCTTTCAACTACTTCATTCTTTAGCTGTATCACATCACTATCCCACTGATTAGGTTACTTCAGAACTGATATTTTACATGGCTTTTGAGGCGGGTGATTTTTTTTCATATTATATATATATGTATGGTTTTCATGAATAAACCATATACAGCTGCTTTTATTATTTATGCTGAGTTTACACATACACTAATTTTCATTATTGTTAAGTGTTATTTGACATTGAAGTTAACAAGAGAGACTTTTTCATTTTTCTTTTTTTGTTTGTTTGTTTTGTTTGTTGGTTTTTTTATTGCATTTTAGGTTTGGGGGTACATGTGAAGAACATGCAAGATTGTTGCATAGGTACACACATGGCAGTGTGATTTGCTGCCTTCCTTCCCTTCACCTATATCTGGCATTTCTCCCCATGCTTTCTCTCCCCAACTCCTCACCCCCCATTGTCCCTCCCCATTTCCCCCCAACAGATCCCAGTGTGTGATGCTCCCCTCCCTGTGTCCATGTGCTCTCATTGTTCAACACTCGCCTATGAGTGAGAATATGCAATGTTTGATTTTCTGTTCTTGTGTCAGTTTGCTGAGGATGATGGTTTCCAGGTTCATCCATGTCCCTACAAAGGTCACGAACTCATCATTTTTGATGGCTGCATAATATTCCATGGTGTATATGTGCCACATTTCCCCTGTCCAGTTTATCATCAATGGGCATTTGGGTTGGCTCCAGGTCTTTGCTATTGTAAACTGTGCTGCAATGAACATTCGTGTGCATGTGTCCTTATAGTAGAATGATTTATAATCGTTTGGATATATAACCAGCAATGGGGGTTATTTCTTTTCTTGTTTCATGTTGCTAATATATTTCTTTTTCTCAGTTAGGATGTTAAATTAAGAAGTTACAAATTATTGGCCCTTTCACTGTGATATATCTTCTCCCAGGAGTGTCTGTCAACCAGGTTGTTATTCTGCTTTTGAGATGGTTTATTCTTCAGATGTCCTCTACCCAACCCATACATGAAAAACTAGCCCAAGGCTCCACCCTAAGCCTTCTTCTTGTCTCTCTGTTTTTTATTATTTCTCTCCAGACTATCTCATCTGCCCCTGTCTGTCTCATAGATATCTCTATCGTATGCTATTCCAAACTGTATTACTCATGCTTCCTCCACCCTGCCAAATATTCTACATCATTTTTAACTGGTCAGTCATCCACACAGTTACCCAAGTTTGAAACCTAGGAATCCCCATAGACCTTTCATTTTCTCAAGCCCCATAGCCAATTCATTACCAGATTGCATCAGTTCCATCTTCAAAATATATCTTGCTTTTGCACCCCTGCCTCATTTCCGCTGCCACAACCTCAGTGTGAGCAGCCATTGTTTAAAATTATTTAAATCCTGGTCTACTTTAGGCAGTCTATCTGTTTCTACCCTTAACCCCATGCAACTCATATGGCCACTTTGCTTTGTAGCAACAAATATTTTCACAGAGGAACACACACATATACACACACAGAACTTAAAACCCTCTAGTAACTTTTCTCTGCATTCAGTAAAATGTGTTCATAAAATCACATCTCTTTACCAAGGCCTACAAAGTCACATGACTCAGATCCTGCCTATCTCTCTAACCTAATTTATACTACCATCTCTTCATGATCTGTGCTCCAAACACATTGATCTTCTTTTAGTCCCAAGAGCATGCTACAGCCCCTCTCAAAATCAGAGGACTTTGCACAGATGCTCCTTCTGACCAGGTTGCTCTTATATCCTCCTCTCTTCTTTGCTACCTCCTTCTCATTCTTTAGGTCTCAGCCTCAATGTCACCCCTCAGAGAGGTGTCCCACATCTTCCCTAACTGAATTCCTTTTATCTTAGTCTCTACCTTAGGCTGTTGCCTATTTCCTTCACAGCACATATCATATTGAGTAATTATTTTATATGACTGTTCACAACATTTAATTTTTCTCCCCTTTTAGGATTTAAACTCCATGAAGCAGAGATTTTACCCTGATAAGCAATTAGTATTTGTTGGATGAACTGTCAGGTCATCCTGGAGACTAAGAAGGCATGAGGTACCAAATTTCTACAGTGCCACTAATAATGCCATGAAGAAAATCACCTAACCCACTGTGAAATAAATTACAGCATTATTAACAACATGTTTGTCATTTGTCTTTCTTTTCAGACTTTATTTCTCCACAATTTTGTTCTCCCACAAAACATCCTCTAAGGTACTAATGTGAACATTTTATTACATCAAAACATGAGTTTCTCTGATGAAAATTTTAGCAAGGACTACCATGGATGTTTGATATACATACTTGAATAATAGCAACTACATGTTGACACAGCTATTAAGGAAAAAGAGGTTTTTCCAGCAGCTGTTGACTTCATCAATTCCTCTCTGCAATGAGTCACTCAAACTTCCACAGAGCTAGAAAAGTAAAAAAAAAAAAAAAAAAAAAAACGTTGCCACTACCAAAGTAGGGATTTTTTTATTGTGATGAGAGAGGAATGGGGAGAGTTAGACATGGAGAAAGTGAATAAAATCAACTAGAAAGAGAGATGTGATGCTATAGAAAGTTGAATAATTTATGTGTCAAAAAGATAAAACTGTACACATGCCTAGTACTTTAACAATACAAGTGAAAAACATGTGAAAACTGGCATAAAGGGTGGGGTATTTGCAACGGAAAAAAGGCAGTTGTTTAAAAAAAAAAAAAAGCAACAGCTGCCAGTCTGAGCCACCCTATGAATGGCCAAGAAAGGAACCTACTCCTCTCCTTCAGTTGTATTAACATAATGTCAACCATTAATGAGACAATAACTATCCCAGGCACCAGTCAATGTCCTTTTGAGAGGATACTTCTTAAATTCCACCATCACATTGCATAACCTCTTGGAAAAGGTGAGATTTAATTACCTGCCAACTCTGAGACAGAAAGTTCTGTTGACTGTACCACACAAGTAAGCAGTCAGTAAAGTACATAGCACAATATGCACATTGATTAATATAAATTGGTTTCAGAGTGACTTTGCATTTTTACAATGATTGTGTTTTTTTACCTCGTTGCCTTTCATATTGCCTGCTAAACAATAGCCTCCATTTATTGAACACATACCACATACCAGGCAATGTGCTAAGCATTTTGCAAATACTACTGACAACAGCCCTAAGTGCTATGTATTATAATCTAGGTCAAGTTGATCCTATTGCTCTGTTTTAGAGATCAAGAAATAGAAGCTTAGAATGGTTAAATAACCAATTCCAGGTCACACAATGAGTTTAATACTTATCACTATTAGCTTCGAAGCTCTTCTTTATAGGGAAACTCACTATGTGCTTGGGAGAAAGTGCCTAAGTGTGACACTATTTGACAGTATTACAATAGCACTGCGTGTCATCAGTGGGAAAAAAAGAAGAGCAAATGATTAAAAGCCATGCAAATAATGTATTCTCTAGTCTAAGTTTCTGTTAACATCCTGTTTACATTATTCCTTCAACAGGCATTTATGGGGCACCTATTTGGTATTGCAGGGATTGAAATGATAAGCAAGACAAAGGTCTTTGTCTTCACAGGAGCTCCATGAAGCACCTATAAAGTCAACTTTAAAAAATTAATATTTTGCCTTTTTCTGTTGAGAAAATAACTTTCTGTAAAATAAAAATTATTGACAATCAATTATACAGTTTAATAAAGTGGCTTTAAAACTGTGCTTTACACTGTTTACAATAGCAAAGACATAGAACAAACCCAAATGCCCATCGGTGATAGACCAGAAAAGGAAAATGTGGCACATATACACCATGGAATACTATGCAGCCATAAAAAAAACGATGAGGTCGTGTCCTTTGTAGGAACATGGATGAATCTGGAAACATCATTCTCAGCAGACTGACACAAAAACAGAAAATCAAATACTGCATGTTCTCACTCATAGGTGGGTGTTGAACAATGAGAACACATGGACACAGGGAGGGGAGCATCACACACTGTGGGGAGTTAGGGGACAGACAGCAGGGGGTGAGGATGTTGGGGAGGCATAACATATGGAGAAATGCCAGATATAGGTGACAGGGGAATGGAGGCAGCAAACCACCTTGCCATATATGTACCTGTGCAACAATCCTGCATGATCTGTACATGTAACCCAGAACCTAAAGTACAATTTTTAAAAACTGTGCCTTATAGAATTCAGAGGTATTGACCAGCTCCCCCAAGATTACAGCGGTGGATTAGGGAAAGGGATCAGTGGAATAGTGTCTACCGCTTTCCCTCAAACACACAAGTTCTATTGTAATTTATTTTCATATTAATTTTCAGAATAATATTTTGTTGGACTAAGCAGTTCCATCACAAAGAAAATTTGAAAACCTTTGATTGACTTTGTGGATTGAATACATACTTTATACTGACTTAGATCTTAATTGAAATGTTGGTGTTTGCTTTTATAATTGTCACTAAAATGTGTTCTAATAATAATTTTTGAAAATGCAGGCTTCACAGAGTGGATGACCAAACACAGAAAATACCTATCAGAACCATGAGTAAATACCAATTAAAATATATGACAGCCTTGTAAAATTTCACACTCTTGTTCCAGCAGAAATGAAAAATCACTTGAATGGGATGAGAAAAAAGTAGTAGTATCATTCAAATTCCAGAGGAAGAGATGAATTTAATGGTGAGGTTACTGGCATTGGGATAAATATCAGGGATAATGTCAAATATTACTTAGTCACATTACAAGTAAAATACCAGCCTTCAGTATCTACATTGGATTAGAGCAGTTTCTTTAGATCTTCTTATTTCTCTTTCAAGCTTCAACCTTAAACAATAGGCCATTGAATAGCAGAAAAAAACTTTGAACTTAGAAGTAGAAATCTATAATCAAATCCTCAGCCAACTTAAAAACCAGCTGTGTGACCTTGGATAAGTCCCATAGCTGACTGCATTCTCTAAATCAGCACCTGTAACATTTCCAACCTCATTAGAGTGTGGTGTGAATGAAAATGTAAAGAATGCTTAAAACAGAGCCAGACCTTGTGTGAATTAGAAAGTCTCAGGCAGCCACTCATTCCATCACCCTGTCTTACTCTTTCTCATGCCCCAGGGTTACTTATTTGCTTTTCTTAATACACCTGAGCCTTTCTATTGCATCTCTCTGTAGACCAGAATTATTCTTGTGTTTGGGTCAATATGGATTGAGTCAAAAATTTTCAAGATCTACCTGACCTTTTACTTCAAGGATCCATCATCCTCTGGCTTCCATTTTTTGTATTTCTATATGCATAGATTCAAGGGAGACATCTGACTGACTCAGGCTAGATCCAGATTAACTCCTCCTACATTTGCTGTCTATCCTGGTCCAATCAGTGGCAGCTAAGGGAGCTCAGTCACCTTGTTTGAAGTTTGCCCAGTCAAGGGGCTATGGAAGGAAGAGGAAGTTAATCAGACAGGATTGTGACAGGCAGACCAACAAACATGTCTATTTAGAATCTAAATATTTATAAAACTCCAATCCCCCAAATTCCCCACATATATATGCTCTTGTATTTCCCAGAGATAGGAAGGGAGGTATGCTCATAACCCCATTTTACAGATGGAAAGAATAAAGCGCCAGGGATACTAGTCCCTCCATTCGGATTATTTAATGAGCCTAGGGTCACTTAATAGACACTGGTGGAATAAGAAATAAATCCAGATTGAGAGCTTAGACTTCCTGGTCTCCTTTTAACAATTAAGACTGCAAAAATTTCAAACCATATCACATGAACAATAAATGCCATATCTGAATCAATTGCAGAGACAAAGACAGAGACACAGGGAAAAGATAGATCTATCCAAGGTCACTAAAGTGAGGAAATAAACCAGCAGCTGAAAATAGACTTCTGTCTCAGCAGCATTGTGCTTTCACTCCTGGGCAACTTCCTGCCTGTACAGTAGCATTAATGCCAGCAAGGAAGGAACCTGAGGGTTAAATCCTTGGCCCCAGCCCCAGATAGCAATAGAGAACCCCACCCCCTTAGTTCAGTCAATAAATAGATGTCCTTTTCATCCAAGTTTCGGAAAACACAGTTAATATACAGCCACTGCTCACAAATTAAATGAGTTATCTTACTGTAAAGGGCATAACTATTTCATTATCTTTGCAATTTACGTGAAATATGCTAAATGTAGAAGAGATACAAAACAGCTGCTGCCAGAAGTTTCAATAAAAGACCACTGCTGGGCACCCATATAACTGTGGGGTCATTAGGAGACTTAAATGTCTCCTTCACTTTACCCATGGTGGGGGGGAGGCTGCACTGAGAAACATCACTGGCATGAGGCTGATTGCCTACCCTGTGATTAATGTTGCCAGGTAAATTCAGAAGTTGTCACAGTTCTCACCCTACAGTCCAGGTTCATTTATAAAATAGAGCAAAGGGAGTCCAGTGCATTGAGAATGCCAATGCAAAATTATAATAATTACTTATTACATGATACAGTTATTAAAGTCTTTCCTGTGTTATTCAGATGAGATTAGGCACGTTCAGGGTGGTACGACCATAGACTTTTCTGTGTTATTCAAAAAGCAAGGCATGTACATTGGTAGAGAAGACAGAAGAAATATGTGTAACTGTGTTTTTCTCTTGTAACTTTCCCAGGAAAAATTACTCTGGTCCCTAAGGCCTTAAGGCACTTTTTTCTTGTTTCCCTTGAACTGTAACTACTGGGTTTCAGAGACCAATTTTTAGCTTTCATTGTATCCATAGGATTTAGCATAGTGACTGGCATAAGAAAAATCTGCTAAACTAAAACTAATACCCTATTATAGAATGTACCATGATAGATTCTAAGTTCTATAATAGGCATGCAATAATTGTAAGTTCTCAAAATGGACAGACCAAATCTAGTCCCTTTGTATCCTTGTAACTCTGCAGCTCTGCTATCCAACAGAGCTTTCTGCAATAAGGGAAATACTTTATTTCTGTTCTAAGAAAAGGAAAGTTTTTTTTTGTTTTTTTTGTTTTTTTTGTTTTTTTGAGACGGAGTTTCGCTCTTGTTACCCAGACTGGAGTGCAATGGCGTCATCTCGGCTCACCGCAACCTCCGCCTCCTGGGTTCAGGCAATTCTCCTGCCTCAGCCTCCTGAGTAGCTGGGATTGCAGGCACGCATCACCATGCCCAGCTAATTTTTTGTATTTTAGTAGAGACGGGGTTTCACCATGTTGACCAGGATGGTCTCGATCTGTTGACCTCGTGATCCACCTGCCTCGGCCTCCCAAAGTGCTGGGATTACAGGCTTGAGCCACCATGCCCGGCTGGAAAGTTCTTAAAGAAATGTTCTTCCTTTAAAAATCTATAAGATTTTTATAAATCTTATAAAATGACCCAATAAAATTAAATGGCCAATGGCCCAATAAGAGCCATTGGCTACTTGTAGCAATTGAATGCCTGAAATATGACTGGTGAGAGTGAAAAAATGCATTTCTTATTCAATTTCAATTAATTTCAATTTAAATCATCCATTGTAGCTCACAGCTACTGTGTTAGACAGAGCAGCACTGGAGGCCAAGTGTGGTCGCTCATGCTCATAATCCCAACATTTGGGAGGCCAAGGCAGGAAGATCACTTGAGCCCAAGATTTCAAGACCAGCCTGGGCAATGTAGAAATATCCAGTTGCTACAAAAAATAAAGATAAATTATCCAAGCATAGTGGCACAAACCTCTGTAGGATCACCTGAGCCTGGGAGGTTGAGACTACAGTGAGCCATGATCACACCACTGCACTCTTGTGTGGGAAAGAGTGACACTCCATCTCAAAAAAAAAAAAAGGAGGGGGGGTAGCACTGGACCCTAGGATGATGCTTGGCATTCAGTAGCTGCTATTTGAATGTTTTTTAATGAATCAATGACTACATATACCCAATCCCACCACAAACCTACGTCCTACCAATCTGCTCTCAGCTGCAGAGCTGAGAGCATGTAATATGTACTTGGCCAAGTCAAGGTTAAACATATAGTCTACAGGAAAAGAGAATTTGGCCATTCATTGGATACTGTGAGGAAAGTCTTTCATGGCTAATTTGAAAGATGTACTTCAAAGTAACCACTTAAGATTAAGTCATCCATGAGCCATATTTTTGCTCCACATCTACTGCTTAGGGCAGAGTGGTCAAGTGGAAAAGTAATGAACTTGGGTACTATTTATACTCAACTGTCTACTAACTGATTAGCTTTGAGGCTCAATTAACATGAGAAGTGCTTGACTTTTCTTAGTGGCAAAAAGGAGAGAGCCTATGTATCATGCCTCCTTCCCAGAATGTTGTCAAGAGCAAATGAGATCACTTGCATGAAAACATCCAATGCTGAGCAAATACCAATTATTATTAAAATATGTTACTCACTTCGAATTATTTTAAATAACTATTATCATAGTAATGGTGCTTGTGTCATTAACAAATAATTGAATATATGTTTCCTTGCACAGTTAAAGACATACATGTGCCCAAGAAAAGGCAAATGATTTTCTTCCACTATAAGAAGATTTCCATTTCTTTTCTCTGTACTTCATATCTCAGAAGGTTACATCTCGCTTACTTGGTAGTTTCAGATGACAGTTCTACAATGATTCCTCTCACCCATCTCATTGAATAATGAGGCTGTCAGCATAAGTAGATTACATTGTAGGGAGTGTGTTTATAGCTAGTATTGGCATGCTATTTTTTCAGCCACCACCCCAAGGAGAAGAGTTCACACTGTGTTTCTAAATTACTTCTTGAAGAGTAACATGGGATTCTTTCAGAAATGGAAGGAAGGAAAAAAGTAAGACCACAGAGTAATTTGGAAAGCACCCAAGATCGGTAAGACACCAAAAGTAGGGGTGCTCTATAGCACTAGGAGCCTGTGTTCTGATCCCTTGCAGCACCCCAAGATATGACAGGACCTCAGCAGGAAACAGCCAGCTCGAGTTCCTAAAGAGGCTGGACCACAAGCGCTGGGCTCCTAAACTTGGCAATGACGCTAGGGCCCCACAATGGCAGCTCCAGCAGAGCCTTCATCCTTAAGGAATAGTACAGCTTTGAACACTGAGCATGTCAGCTATGATCTTAGAGGACCAAATAACAGGGCATTCACTTGGCACCAAGAAGGACATCGTCAAGACAATGCTTGACCTTTCCACCAGTGAGGCTGATTGGAGGCTTGGAGCATATTAAATTTATTTAGAGAAAGGAAAGAAATGTAACATTACTCACATCCTGTGTTTGAAAGAAAAATCATCCTGTCCACTCAATAGCTGTGCAGGGCTGCCTTCCACGCCACATTTTTTACACAGACCATAGGGAGGTCTGTGTGACTTTGTGACTCACCCTTTGTCACAGCCCTCAACCCCATAGAACTGTTAGAGCTGAGTAGGAGACAAGTCTAGTAACACTTACAGGGCTGTCTTCAAAAACCAGCGTTTCTCCTTAACCAACTCTCGGCAATTATCTCAGACCAAGTGAATGCACCTGACTTAAGCAAATTTGGCTGTTCATGAGTTTTAGGTTACTCTGGCAGATATTGATCACCACCAGCAGCTAGGAACATGTGAGAACTGTAATCCTCCTCCCCAACAATCTCATTACTGGGTGATGAGTTATATTGAAAGCACATTTGAAACCAAAAATGCCACATGTTCAAATACTCAAATCAACTAGCTAACCTGACACAATAAGCGTATTGAAATCCCAGGCAACAACATCCACGAAAGGACCACTCAAGGCAGACGTGTCGGTATTCTAGTGAAAGAGCCACTCAAGGCAGATGTGTCAGTATTCCAGTGAAAGGACCACTCAAGGCAGATGTGTCAGTATTCTAGTGAAAGGGCCACTCAAGGCAAACATGTCAGTATTCTAGTGAAAGGGTCACTCAAGGCAAACATGACAGTATTCTAGTGAAAGGGTCACTCAAGGTAGACGTGTCAGTATTCTAGTGAAAGGGCCACTCAAGGCAGATGTATCAGCATTCTGGTGAAAGATTCAGCTAAACTTCTGATCAGAAGTCAAGCCACAGGATTCTCTGTTGAGCTATTGAATGAAGCCCTGGCCAAGAACCGCCCTGTGAAGAGGGTAGGCTGTGGAGCTCTCTCTAGATTCTTACTCCTGTTGTTCATAGAAGGAAGGAATTGCCTCCATAATATTTCCAGCATATTCACATGTCTTAATCACCACTCATCTCACCCATGAAAACTTATTTTAGCATCCCCTATGCTAACCTTTTTGTGTTAAAGCTATAATAGGACTGATGATTAGAGTCATTCAAATGCCACCTGAAGATCTCTGAGTGTGAATTTCCTAGCTGACTTTCAAACATGAACACTCTACCACTAAGGTGTCCTCTAAAACACAAACGCACATTTCTCTCTTAGTGCTAAAGGATATAAAAGAATTTACTTGAAA